GAAATGCAGAATCTGGCTAAAAGTGGCATGGCTCTGTGGCGACTGCAAGTCTGTGCCATTGCACGGCTCCAGTTCTTGAAGCTCAAACATGGGAAGAGAACGCTCTTGACCTTGTGAGTACCAGAGGCCCTCAGGGTTGTGGGAAGAGTTTGGGAAGAGGTTCAAGCTGGAGGAGCCTTCAAAACTGGTGTGTGCTTCCTGACATCCCAGCCAGGAGAGAGAAGCAACATTTGATTCCAGTTCATTTCAGTTTGACTCCGTGCTGTGAATTTACCTTTTCACCCCAGAAATACTGAAATAGCACCTACATTTTAACAAAATCCCCAACTGATGCTTATAGATCGCCAGATTGTGCTGTGGGTTAATTGTGCTGTGGCTGCTAATCTCAAGGTAGGTGGTTCAAACCCACCAGCTGTGCTAAGGTACAACAATGAGGCTACCTGCTCCCATAAGATTTATCACCAGAACTCTACTTGGGGTCACTATGGATAAGAATCTGCTAGATAGCAATGGGTTTGGTTTGGGTATGAACAATCTTATGCAAGCCCTACCTAGAGATCTTGTTAACAAACAGATTCTGATTCAATATGTAGATTCGGATTTAGTATATCTGAATTTACTGGGTGTAAAATACAAATTTTCAGGAGTTGAATTGGAATGAACCAAGACCTAATTTTACTGGCAGTGTTTATACACATTTAGCATGTGGTTAGGATTATTCACATGTGTTTAGTCATCCTACTTTGGTAGCCCAATGTTTGTTTGCACAGTGATGTCTTTGAGTAATGTAGCATGCTAATTTATGACTGTCACACACTAAGTTCCCAGAAATATGGCTTAACTTTATGGTGGGATGACAGTGAATCCATTGAACCTCTAGAGATTCATACAGCAATGTCTCTTTGTTTTTAGACTAGCGCTGCTTGGAATTGCAATGCTGCCTTTGACTGTGGAAAATTTACTTATTGCCGTATTAAATCAAAATGGCCACTTGGAATTTAAACCCGAATTGTATTTCCTTTCTCCCGGTCAAATCTCCAAGGAGCCGCTTACCAGCTTACTGATCATCAATAACACAGGTGAACCAAAAAATGAAATTTAAATCCAGAAAAGAATGGTTACGATTGTTAAATAGCATATTCTTGGGAAAGCACATGATAAAAGAAGGCAAGGGAGACCCGGGCTTTATAAACAGAGCTCATCAGAAATGGGGCAGAACATTAACTCTGCTTTGCAGGTTGATGAGGACGGCGAGACTGTCTTGCCGAGCTAAGCTACCCCTCTACCTGCCGACCTTCAGACGTTATGTCTGAGAGAAAGCCTCTTTTGTCCTACCTGAGCAACTTGATCTTGAGATCTATGAGAAGATTTCTGTGTCACGGGTCAACATGACTCTTGTAATGCCCAAAGCCCCACAATCGTTTGTGTGATCTGCTAAGGAACACTGACTTTCGATTGTGTTGGGGAGTGATTTTTAAGCCCAGACTCATGTTTCCTTGCTTTTCTATGGCCTTCTGCATTGACTTCATTCTAGGATCAAATATTGAAGATTTCATACACTCACTGAAACGTCAAAATATACTTTTGGAAGTAGATGACTTCAGAAATAAAAATGGCACGCAAGACCTCTCCTATAACGGAGTCATCATCGTGTCGGGTAAACGGAAGGTACGTTTGTCTCGTCCTTTAGCCTTATGAAAACAACAACAACTAACATTTTTAATGCTGGATTTCAGTCAGGGCACAGCAACTCTTTACAAGAGTAGAAGCCTCCTGCCCCCCCCCCTCCCCACTGTGGATTAGGTGGTGGTTTTGTTCAAACTGCTGCCCTTGGGGTTCGCAGGACAAACGGTGATCACTGTGCCCCAGGGCTCCTACTCATATCATATTACATTCCATTTATTAGCTCCTTTCACAAGGCAGAAAGCAAGTGCCCGGGAATGTCATTTATCTGGAACACACTCACATAGCTTGAATGAAGCCCTGTTAAGGGCTTACATGCCAAGAGCTTATCTTTATGCTTTGAGAATCGAGAATTCATATTTTTGTGGGTTTTTGTTTTATTACAAGGATTATAGGTTTTCAGTGGTGTGCAATATCAAGAGACTTCACTGTTATCCTCTGCTTATGAACATTGTCAGCAATGGGCTACTTGGTATGTTCAATCACACTGAATCTATTCGCATCGAAAGAGACTCGCTGGAGTGGATGGTAAGTACTGCACTTACTCATTCTGAACAATCGGGGATTGACAAAAAAAGCCTCTGTTTTTCATTTTAACTTTTAAATAGGAATAGTTCATTGTGAATCATAAAATACATGATGTTAGAATTAAATAATTGTGTTTTTCCCCCTAGTATGTTAGTATCAGAGACTTCTTATGGTTAATACCTTGTGTAATGCCATTTTCTTCTAGAAAATCTGCTGCAAAGTCATACATATTTATTGAAGAAGTGTAGTAAGGAGAGAGGGAGAGTGAACTCTGGATTGAAAATCTGCGGGACTCATAATTCAGCTGTAGAATTTCATAAATCTAATAGCATATGCTAATGGGCTTGCTGTTGACTAAGTGGATAGTGAATTAACTGTAGATGAAGGAGAATGCACCAGCATGCTTTTGGATTGATTGCTTGCAGCTGCCTATTCAGAATCCTGAGATGCAGTGGTTAAGTGCATGGTAGCTAACCAAAAGGTCAGTGGTTGGAACCCACCAACCTTTTGACCCCACGGGAGAAAAGTTTGGCAGTCCATAAAGACTACAGCTTTGGAAACCATATGGGGCAGTTCCACTCTGTCCCCCAGGGGTTACTATTTGTTTGACTTTGTTGTTGTTCATTACTGACAAGTTTGGACAAAGGAAGTGTGGGTGGGACAGAAGAGAGCAAGAGAACCCCATCACTCCAGGCCTATCATCTCCTTCTTTCATTTCCCCAGCTTGCAAGGATGCCAGTAGGATACAGGGGAGTAGTAAAGGGAGCTCACCAGTCGTGGGCAAGAAGAAATAGGATCAGCAGGTACCAGAAACAGCAGTAGCATCATCTGGTGCTTTGATATCTTCATGCTTCTACTTGTCTGTGCCGGATCCAAATGGTCCTCATTACCCAAGACTCTCTAAGGCATCCCTCTTTGACACACACCTTTCATCCTCAGCCATTCCTGCCATGACACTGATGCACTTTCCCACCTAGGGAAGAACTGCAGGTGCCACTACCTTAAATAGAGTTAAGGAATTCAAGAATTACTTTGAGATGAGGTCTCACTTTGCTTCCTTCTAATTATCCTCAGAAGGCAGTTCTCTGCACTGTCTGGGTAGCAGGTCAAGCTGAGACAGGCACTGATTTGAGGGCGATGATTTAAAATAGTGAAGATACTCATTGGTATTTCCGTTCCCTACTGGTGCTGTGCAAAGGAGCCCTGAGTGGCGGAGTGGCTACTATTTGACCTGGTAACTGCAAGGCCAACTGATGGAAAGCATCAGTCACTCACCAGCAGTAAGAGCTACAGTCTCCCAAACTCACAGGGGCAATTATACCCTGTCCTGTACATTCACCCTGCTTCAGCATTGATGTGACGGCAGTTATTTTGATTTGGTTTTTCATGTTGCTGCCCCCACTTGTCAGTTAGTTTGTCATACTGTGGTGGCTTGTGTGTCGCCGTGATATTGGAAGCGATATTACTGATAGGTCAAATGCCAGCAGGGACACCCAAAGTGACCAGGTTTCAGCAGAGCTTACAGACGGAGAACGGACTATGAAGAAGGGGTCAGCTACTCACTTGGACGGAAGCAGCCACTGAAATCCTTAGGTGTGGCAGGGAAACATTGTCAGGTGCCAAAGGCCTCGTGAATGGCAGCAGAGCGTTGTCAGAGACAGTGCCAGGGGCTGGGTCCCTCGGCATGGAAGGCACTCAAAGTATGACTGGGGAGGAGGTGCTTTCTTAAAGTGGAGTTGACCATGGTGACTTGAATGGAGTGAAGCTTGTAGGAGTAGATCCTACAGGATCTTCATTGACTGATGGGGCACAACTTGGGATGAGAAGAAACATTTCCAAGAATCTAATCATCAGAATTTGGAGTAGAGCAGTGGTTCTCAACCTTCCTAAGACCGCGACTCTTTAAGACAGTTCCTCATGTTGTGGTGATTCCCCAAACCATAAAATTATTTTTGTTGCTACTTCATCACTGCAATTTTGATACTGTTAGAAATTGGGCAACCCCTGTGAAAGGGTCATTCAACCCCCAAAGAGGTCTCGACCCACAGGTTGAGAACCGCTGGAATAGAGGAAGCATGAATCTAGGAAAATTGGAAGTCACAAACATTAAATGCATAAAGATTGATGGCTTAGGTGTTGGTCATTTTTAATCAAAAAATCATATGGTTAACTAGGCTGGGAATAACACCATCAAGAGTGATGGTATCGCATTCATTGTTAGAAAGGGCATTTCAAGATAAATCTTGAAGTATAATGCTGTCTGTGATAGGATTATATATTTACCCCTTCAAGGAAATCCAAACTAAGTATTGTTCAAATTTATGCACCAACCACAAAAACTAGTGTTGAAGAAATTGAAGAATTCTACCAACAACTTCAGATCAAACATGCAATCAAGATGCATTGATAATCCTTGACCATTAGAATGCACAAGTTAGAAACAAATAAGAAAGAATAGTAGTTGGAAAATATAGTTTTAGTGATAAGAAATGAATCTGGATGCAATTTTGCAAGACCAACGCCTTGCTCCTAGAAAATGCCCTTTTTCAACAACACAAAAGGTAACAGTACACATGGACTTCGCTAAATGGAATACAAAAAAATAAAGTCGACTACATCTATGAGAAGAGATGATGGAGAAGCTCCAGATCAGCAGCTCAAACCAGGAGCTAATTGTGGAACAGACGTCGACTTGCTCATATGTAAGTTCAGGTTGAAGCAGAAGAAATTTAAAACAAGCCACAAGAGCCAAAATATGACCTTGAGTCTTTCTCCCACCAGAATTTCGAGAACATCTCAAGAACGTATTTGACATCCTGAACACTAATAACAGAAGAGCTGATGAGCCGTGGGAGGACATCGAGTATATCATTCATGGAGAAGGCAAAAGGTCATTAAAAAGACAGGAAAAAATGGAAAGATCAAAGTGGATGTTAGACGAGACTCTGGACCTTGCTCTTAAATGTAAAGTAGCTCAGGCGAATGGAAGAAATGTTGATGTCAAAGAGCTTAATAGAAAATTTCACAGGGCAGCTTGATAAGACACGTAAAAATTATAAGGAAATGTGAAAAGAACTCAGAAAAACGAAAAGGAAGAACATAACTAGCATATCTTAAACTGAAATAACTGAAGAAAAAACAATCCTCGGCTTGCACTATTGAAAGATTCTCAGGGAAAAATATTGAATGCGGCAGGAAGCATCCAAAGAAGATGGAAAGAATACAGAGTCACTGCATTAAAGACCTAGTCAACTTTCAGCCATTTCAGGAGGTGGTACATGAGCAAGAACCAATGGTGCTGAAGGAAGAAGCTCAAACGGCACTGAAACATTAGTCAAAACAAGGTTCCAGAAATTGGTGGAATAACAATTGAAATGTTTCAATAAGCGGATGAAGCACTGGAATCACTCCTTTATGCCAGGAAATTTGAAAGCCAGCTGGTTGACCTACTGGAAAAGATTCATATTTGTTTTGATTCCAAAGAAAGGCAACAGATTGGTCAAATTATAGAATAACATCATTTATATAACACAAAAGTAAAATTTCTAAAGGTCATCCAACGATGGTTGCAACAGTACATTGATCGGGAATTACCAGTGTTTCCAGTTGGATTCAGAAGAGGACCTGAAACAGCGATGATCATTGCTGGTGTCACATGGATCTTAGCTCAAAGCAGAGAATGCCAACAAGATATTTACTTGTGTGTTGGTGACCTCGCCAAGGCATTCAACTGTGTGGATTATAACATATAGACAGTCTTGCAAGCAACGGAAATTACAAAACACGCCATTGTGTTCATGGGGAACTTGTACATGGATCAAGAGACAGAACAAGGAGACAATGCATGGTTTGAATTCAGGAAAGGTGTGCATCGAGGCGGTAGCAGCTCGCCAAACTTATTCAACTTGCATGCTGAACAAATCATCGGAGAAGCCGGATGACATGAAGAAGGATGTGCATCAGGATTGGAGGAAGGCGTATGTACAAGCTGTGCTATGCAACGACACAACTTTGAAGAAAGCACTAACTGATGAAGATCACGGGTGCAGCCTTCGGTTTGGATTAGAACACAATGTAAAGAAGACCCAAATCCTCACAATTGGACCAAGAGGGGACATCAGGTTAAATGGAGAAAAGACTGAAGTCGCTAAGGATTTCACAATTCATTCTTATTGAAGCAGCAGTCAAGAGAGCAAAAGATGAGTTGCCTTAGATAAATTTGATGCGCAAGACTGCTTTAAAGTCTTTAAAAGGAAGGATGCTACTTTAAGGACTAATGTGTGCCTGAACCAGAATGCTCCTTGGAGACGAGGTTGGGGGAACGTTGTCACAGGTACTTTGGACATAGGCAAGACCAACCTCTGGAGTAGGACATCATGCTTGGTAAAGTAAAGGAGCAACGAAAAAGAGGAAGGTGCTCCACAAGATGCATTGACACGGTGGCTGCAACAATGGGCTCATGCATAGGAACAATTGTGAGGCTGGTTGCAGGACTGGGCCGGTTCGTTCTGTTGTTCAGCAGGTCTTTATGGGTTGAAACCAACTTGATGGCACCTACCACCACCACCACCGCCACCACCAACAGCAGCAAGGTGATTGTAACCAAAATCCCAAGAGTGAGTGATTTTAAACAACAGGCGTTTATTTTCCCACCAGCTTGGGAAGCTACGGTCCAAATCTGGGTTCCAGCTGTGTTGGTTCCTCCTCGTACCTTGTCTGGTGCTGGTGATCCTCACAGGCAGACATCTTCCTCAGTCTGTTCCTGAGCGCCCGATCTGCTCTGTGATACTTCAAAAGTAGTCCAACGTAGGGCACACCCTACCCTGATATGGCCTCATTAGCACAGTAAAGAGCCCAGGTTTCCAAAGAGGATTATATCCACAGGCATAGTGGTTAAGATTCCAACACCTATATGTGGGTGACATAGTTCAATCCCTAACAGCACTTGAATTCCCCTCTGATACAGTCACTTAGCTGCAAGGCTTCACATAGCCACCACTAGCTCTGCTCAGAAAGACTTGCTGCTCTCAGGCCTGAGTCATCCACGAGTCCAGGGTGACCACTGTTGTTGGGTGCCATTGAGTGGCTTCTCTCACCATCGTTCTTATGTTTGCATCCATTGTTGAGCTCACTGTGTCCAGGGCTCTTCCTCTTCCACTTTACTAAACATAAGGTCCTTCTGCAGAGACTGGTCTCGCCTTATACCATTTCCATAACATGTGAGACAAAGTCTCACCAGCCTTGCTTCTAAGGAGCATTCTGGTTGTACTTCTTCCAAGGCAGATTTGTTTCTTTGACACTCCATGGTACTTTCAATATTCTTCACCAGGACTAATTCAAATGCATTGATTCTTTTTCTGTTTTTCTTATTCACTGTTCAACTTTCACATGTATTATAAAGCAATTAAAAATACTCTGGCTTGGATCAGGCACACCTTAAGCCTCAAAGTCGCCTCCTTGTTTTTCAATACTTTAAAGAGGTCTTGTGCAGCAGATTTACCCAATGTAATATGTTGTTTTATCACTTGTTGGCTCATTTTTTTTTTACTGTTCATGCTCATGTAAAACCATCAGAAGCAATTTCCCTGTAGCCTCCCTGTGTAGATGTTGATAAGTTGGATAGACATTTCCATTTTGATTTTTCAATATTGCAAAAAAGCATATCCTTTGTGATTATTAGTGTTTATTTAATTTTTATAAATACTGGCTAGGTTAATGCTCCTTTTATGTTTTCAGACTTATAGAACCTTTGAAACGGAGCTGCCAGAAAGCTTAGTCTTCATATTTTTGGTTGCCTGCAGCGTTGCCCCTTATATCGCCATGAACAGTGTCAGCGACCACAAGGTAAGACGAGGCGGGAAACAAATCAAAGAAGATTCTCAGCCTTCAGTGATTTCAATGATTTAGGTTAAAACGTTTTCTTGTGAGAAGACCGCTTAAAGATGTTTACCTCCAATAACGTAGTGAAGCAATTTTTTCTTTAAAAAAATTCAGAACTTTTACCATTAATATTACAAACTAATTTTTGCTTCGAAATCACAGAAGTGCATTAATTTTGTAGAGACTCAAATGAAGAAAACCTCCGTGTGAGGCTGAGTTTTTGAGAGAAACAAAACAAGAGAGGCTGATAATGTGTGTGTGTGTGTGTGTATACTTCCTACATACACACATACAAGGAAGTGACTCACAGAGTTGTAGACATGGGTAAGCCCAGTCTGGTGCATGTCTGTGTGTCAGATAGTAAGCTGGAAGTTTTCCTGACTTGTGTAGCTGTCAGAGCTGATAACCAGGAAGCAGAAAGACAGAGCAGAAAGACTACAGCTGGTGGATGTAGAGACAAATAAATCCAAAGTCGCAGGATCTCAAGGCCCCCAGGGTCAGCCGACAATACAGCACGTCACTGGCTTCCATCCCCGAAGCTAGAGGTCAGCAAGGCAGATGGAGGATCCAGATCAGCAGGAAGCATCTCTGACCTCTGAAGTAGGCTGCACCTCTGAGGAAGCATCATCAGGGCTGTCACCTGAGCAAGGTGGTTGCGCTCCACCGAATCTCGCCACAATTGCTTGGCAGCTTGCAGCTGATCCCATGGTGGTGCGAATTACACATATGATGTTAGCTTACGGAGGCCTCAGCTGCCAAACTACTGAGAATTCTGGCCCAGCTACCTTGACACAAGATCTAAAAATCACCGTGTCCACAAAGCCAAATAGTATAACATTTCCGAAATCATTTTCTCCTAACTGCAAAGAAGAACTCATTGCTGACCTTGAAGAGCAAATCTAGCACGGGATCCCCTTTCCAATGCAGAAATGTGTGCTGCACTCTATTTGGTCATTGCCTTCACCAGACCCACAAGAAAAACCAACACACCTACTGAGATAATCCGCCTTTACCATCTGGAGTCAGTAACTCCTCAAGAGGATATTTGCACAAAAGGAGAATTTTTCATGTCTTTAGCTTCAAGGGCGGGGTTCAAACTCGCCAGTTACTCACCATTCACGCCGCAGGAGAGAGATAAGGTTGTCTGTTCCTATAAAGATTTGCAGTTGTAGAACCCTTATCCAGGGTCACCGTGAGTCCGAATCGACTTTTTAGTGCCTTGATCAGGAAGTCCAGAGATGGTCAACATGGCGATCTAGGATTCTTAAACTCCCGGAGAGCAGTCCTGCTCTGAGCAAAGGGGGCTTCCAGGAGTCAGAATCCACCCAACAGCAACTGCCAGCCACCACAGCTGTGCCCGTCTCCTGATAATGTCTCTCTTTCGCTCATTAGTCAGGAATTAAATGGGGTTGCCAACCAACCTATCAGATGCTAAGATGAATCATGTTTTAAACCATGGTGACCATTGTGCCGTTGGTGTCTGTGTCTCGGGTTTGTCACTGGTATAAGTATGAAAAACAACCCCAGTGGACTGCTTTAAATCTTACATTGTGTTGCTAACTCCAATTTGGTTTGGGGGTCCCACTTAATCTCCGTGTACCCTGTGTTTTCTCTTCAGACTAGAGCTCATTCCCAACTGTGGACTTCAGGACTCTACCCCTCCGCTTACTGGTGTGGGCAGGCACTGGTGGACATTACCCTTTATCTTCTTATTCTCATTTCAATGTTTTTGTTTTATAAGATAATATTGGTAAATCCCATCTATTTGACGAATCTAATTGTGTTTGCTTTGGTAAGTAACATGTCACCTAGATCATATTTTATGATAAGGATATATTTAGCACTGGCATTCTATATATCAGGATTTCTTCTTGTTTTCATAGTCATGTGAAGTACCAATGGGGGGAAATATTTTTCAGTGTGCATAATTTAATTTTCCGTTATATTTTCTCTTTTGACTTTGGTCTTCTTTATATTATCTTTAGGTTATAACTACAATTGGTTATGCAGCTTCTCTTGTCTTTTTGACATATACGATATCATTTATTTTTCACAAGAGGAGAAAAAACAATATCGTCTTGTCGTTTTGTTTTTATGTGGTAAGTGTATCATCATACACAATAGCCCACCAGGGCACTTTGGACAAAGCCATAGTTAACAGCTAGTGTATTTTTAGAGTTTGATACACCCTCATCCACCCCATGGTATAGAGCTTCCTGGGCACCCCAGGCATCTGCTGATGGAGAAGCACCTTTTGATGCTCATTGTGCCTGATGGTGGAGATATTGTAGCACCAAGGCACAGAACACTTCCTTTACTGCAGCTTAGAACCCTCTCTTCTCCTGGAGGATGAGAACTTGGGAAGGGAGAAGGCAAAGAGAAGAAACGAGGCATACAGAGAGAAGGCTGGGGTTCTGGTAGAAGTCTTTAAAATGTCAGCTAGTGTACTTCAGGACTTCAAGTGATGAGAAGTGAGAGGATAGATGGAAACACAGAGGTGAATAATGTCTTGGGAATAAGAGAAGGGAGACAGAAGCAGACAATTATGCTTTGCAGAGAGATTGTGAGCCTGGTGAATGGGGAATTTTTTTAGACTCGGCTTATAAACTGTCTATTGTGCTGTTACTGAATATTTGGGTTAGGGTTATTTTGCTCTGTTCCAAATTATTTCATTTGTCCCTGATGCAACATAACCCTATATAATACTCCTTCAAGAAATATACTTTTCTAATCAAGATTTATACACAGAGTTTTGAATTCTAATTTTCTGGACTTCTGTGATAAGATTTAACCTTTCTGAATCGTAATTTTCTCATGTATAAATGGAAGAAAAATAAGAATGGGTACATTATGGTATTGCTGAAGCTTGAGCTATAAAATGTATGCCAAGTTCTTTATGCCTTGCATTTGTAATGTTTACTTTATTTGAATTTAGCAATTATGGCTCTCAATGTCTCCTTTCCAATTAATGTGCTAATGATCTAACAAAGCCTCATATTGGTTGATTGCTAAATTAATCCTTGAAACAGAAAGAACATTGTCTTTACTCCCTCCCCACTTCCAGTTATCCTAATGGATAAAGAGTCCATTTTACATAAAATTGCACGGTCTCAAAAAAAGTGCACAGTCTCAGAAAATCATCTGTTTGGAATGAGGAACATATGAAGCAGGGCGGGTGGTGAGAATGTTTTACAGAAGCGTGGGAGCCTCGGTGAGAGGCAATCTGTATTCTGCTTCTATAGCGATTGAGTCACTTTTACATTGGATGCACACTTTCATGTATTACCAATCGTATGACCTTGGCTATCAAAAGGTCGTCATGTCTTTAGCTGAGTGTTCTGCATCACACCGAAGAGTGGACTGTCCAGGAGTCCCTCTCATCTTATCGCCAGGCTCTTGAGGCTTTTTGGAATTTTCTATCACGGAGCTAAGGAGCATCTATGTTCTTCCTAACAAAAACTTCCCTCCTCCTGCGGCTGCCTCTGAAAGGGAAAAATGTGCTTGCCGTCTGGGCGTACTCGCACGTGAGAAAAAACCCCTCCTAGCTCTGCTGTCTCACATATCACTGGGCCGCGTTCGTCTGACATGCGGTTTCTCTGAACTTGTTTTGTAGAGCATCTTCCTCACCACCATCATATTCCACTGGTTTGGCATCATGATCTTCATTATCCCCATGATACTGGTGCCTCCTGCTACCCTGAATGGATTCATTTTATTCATAGAAGAGGTAAGAAAATGTTACTGTCATGTATTTTGAAGATGCAATCTATTCAAGCGCTTGACCCAAATGACAGACGTAAAAAGCAGCTTAAATGGGAGTCCAGAGGGGCAGCGCATGAGGATCAGCGGTCGCCTTGCCAGACTCTCACACTCAAGTGCAGTGATGATGGTAGAACGATGCGACTTACCAGAAAACCCTCAAATGGAACCCTTACAAGGCGTGAACCATGTGACATGAAGCTGATACCTCCGTAAATGCTTTCCCATATGCATGTTGGAAAATATAGAATCAAGAAACTGCTATCGCGTCAATTCTGACTCACAGTGACCCTCAGGGACAGAACAGAACTGCCTCTCTGGGTTTCCAAGACTTTAAATCTCTATGAGACCAGGCAACCTCAACGATCTCTGGAGTCACATTGGGTGGGTTCAAACTCCGGACCTTGTGGTCAGCAGCTCAAAAGATAGCCATTATCAAGTTCTTCTTGAATCTGCCATGGTTAAAACTGCAGGTGGTGGAATAAATAGTTACTATCCACTGAGAGGAAAATCCCCCTATGTATTAACCATGACTATGTGTGCAGAAGTGTGCTGATGCCTGGAGGTCACTGATGAGCAAGAAAGCAGGGCTCTTTATTTCAGTGTTTATAACTCAATGGCATCGAGCCAATTCTTACTCATCAGGACCCCACAGGATAGAACAGATGCACTTCACACGGTTCCATAGTGATCCATCCAGGACAATGGCAAACAAATCCACGCAAGGGGCTTGAGCGGAATAAAAGAAGAGCCAAGAGCCAAAAGGAGCGTTTATGTGGCCTGCCTGACAGGCCATGGAATGTCAAAGAATTCTTCTGGAGATGTAAGCTTAAACAGAGCCCTAAAGGGTGAGTGAGAGTTAGTAAATGGAAGAGTGGGCCAAGAGGCAAACATATTCTGGGAAAGAGGAACAGAGGCGATGAGGCAGAAAAGACCAGAAAACATGAAAGAAGGGGCGTGTGATTCAAATGAAGGGAAGGTTCTGAAGAGGCTGGGCTGTGACATGAGCCAGTCCAGCCGGAGGCACCAGCCTGCGACCCTGCATTGTTCGGTCTGCACTCAGTGATGCTGAAGGAAAGACAAAGGGTTTTGCCGCTTGGGGAATCTGGGAAAGTTTTGGGTTTTTTTTTCTATGAAAAACTCCTTTTCTACTGGTTGGGTGATACCTGGAATTCTTGAATAGAAACAAATTCCTTTGCCTACCACATGTCCCCAACTCCCCCAAGTAGAAATACGTGCATGTGTGAGTATATCTGTCACCTGTTATTTACGAAGATTCAGTTAACCTCTAAATGTATTGCTTGATAAAGGAAGAGTGATTGGAAGAGCTAATCGTTGTGAAAATAAAACACTTTGGAGGTAGGAACACTAACAACCCGAACTTGCTTCTATTGAGTCAACGCTTACTGGTGGCGAGTGACTCTGTAGGACAGGATAGAGTGGCCCCTGTGGGTTCCCAAGACCGCAACTCTTTCCGGGAGTTGAGAGGCTCATCTTCCCCATGGCAGTTAGCTTGTGGGGCTCCATTAGGGCCAATTATGTCAACCTCTAGAGTTTCCCACAGGGCCAACTCCTTTCCCTGTTACCCTTTTGTTAGCCTTTCAGCAAACTTGAACACTAAGAGACTTCCTAAGGATACACTCAGGAGAGAAGCGCATAGGCTACCAGGCCATGGGGAGACAGTTAGGTTTGAATAGGAACCACCCTGCCTTCGCTGCATGTATTTACTTGTCATCCATGTGGAAAGAGGTTCAGACTCAAAACCTCCAACTGCCATTGAGTCGATGCTGACTCAGAGCACCCCTACAGGACAGAAAAGAACTTCCCCAGTGGGTTTCTGAAACTGTGAGCCTGGACAGGAAGAGCAAGCCTTATCTTTCTATGTGGGAGTGCCTGGTAGTTTGGAACTGCTGACCTTGAGGGGAGCAGCTCAGGGAGTACCCTGTACACCACCAGGGCTCCTTTAGTTGGAAGCAGCAAGCTTCATAACGAAGACAATATTCTCTGTGTGGTTTCATATGACTTAAATGCAAGACTGAATCAATTTCCATCTGGCCATTGCTTGCTTTCTTTTTCTTTTTTTTTGCAGCAACACTATATGCATATTAGGACCATCGACGACACGGATTTCGACTTGAGTGCGGCTGATTTTTTAGTGTGCTTAATAGTGAGAAGAACTTTCTACCTAGCCACGCGTTCTTGGGCTTGGATATCGCTTCACGTGCCTCTTAGGAAGACCTGCAGGGTGTCAGCTTTGAACATATTTTGATCATAGTCTCGGATCGAAACATGATTTCCAGGCGTCACTCTAAAACCTAGGTTTACTTTTTATGTGCACACATGGACTAGTTTTCAGTGTAAACTTACTACTCCCTTCCTGAAAATATGAGACACGTTGTAGGAAAAAACCTCACCCAGCTGCAATATAGCACAGCCCTTTTGAATTCTGGATACAAAGGGACAAGTTAAATGATAAGACTGCAAGGGGAAATGATGATGTCACTCTATTTAGACTGAGGAAAACTGCTGTCTTTAAATACTGTGTGTCAACACCTTTGTAGGCACAATAGCCCAGGCGGACAAAAACCCCTGCCCTCGCGGAGCTTTTATAGTCTAGATTAGTGGAAAAGGTAGATAGTAAACTAAATAAACTTGCCAAGTGGATGGTCAGGGAATGTCCGGCAAATGGAACCCTGACTTATTCCAACATCAACCTGGAAGTTCCTGTGGTTGGTAAAATGACCAAGGGAGAACTTGGTAAGAGAGAAATAAGGTCAGAGAGGTGATAAGGTAAAGGGTGGGGTGGGAAAAGAGATTTCATAGAGCCTTCTGGACCACTCTATGAACTTTTAACAGTGACTTTGAGTGGTGGGAGAGCCAGTGGAGGGCTTTGAGTAGAATGATAGGATCAGATCCAGCTATTAAAAGACTCACTCCGGTTATCGTAATGAGACGAGTGAGGCCCGCAGAGAAGATGGAGAGCAGGTAGGAAGGGATTTCGGTAATCCGGGTGAGAATTGATAATGCCTCGACCTCTGGAAGCACATGTAGGGATATGAAGCAACTAAATTCTGGATAATTTTCCAGCAGGAGCATGCAGCACATGCTGGCAGGCTGAATATGGATTGTGAGGGCAAGTACCAGGGAGCTGAGTTGTGACTGGATAGCCATAAATATCTCTCCCCAATTGCATACAAGTGGGATTCATCTACTTTACCTGAAAATAAAAATTGTCAGTGTAATTCAAATGTTTAAATGGGACTTGTACCATTCTCCCTAAATATCATTGTTTTTCTTGGCTCCTAGCCTTATTTTCAGGCTATGGTTTTCCTGTTTGTTCTGAGATGGCTGGAACTAAAGTGTGGAAAGAAAATAATGCAAAAGGACCCTGTTTTCAGGTTTGGATAAAAACCATTCCATTTGGTACTTCACGTCCTATCTTGGGACTCCTCAAGAAAGGCTGCACGATGCGTTCTGTGGGGGTTTATTTTTAGGCACAATGTAAATACCCTATGGTTCTCGTTTTGGCCAGTGGATCACTGGCCTTCTTGCAAGAAAGTATGATTTCCAGGCAGAGGAGCTGAAAGAAACTTTCAGCCCCTCATGTATTTCAGGAGCACACATAGAAGTCATTTTCTCATTCAAGATGGGCCTAAATCCTTAAACCAAAGAGATGGGATGAAATTTAGTAGATTCAGACTGTTTTGCATGTAGAGGGATTTTAGAAAGAATTTATTACATGAGTGATTAAGACGGACTCGGAGTGAACAGGGAAAATGCAGTCACCCGATTTTCTTTCATTATTAAATCGTTTATTAAGGACGCTAACAGATTACAATGCTTGGGAGAAATGCTCAGGATACAGTTGTTCGGTCAGGACAAACTACCAAGTTATTTCAGGGCTGCTAATAAATGCCCAAAGGGCATGTCACTCCATTGTCAACCTCAACGCAAACACATTCAACTCCACTTCCCTGCATCAGCCAATCCAGGTTGCCCAATTAAGTGCCCAGAGGCACCCCACTCCACAAGCTGGCCTCGAGTCCAAAAGCACTAAGCGTTACTTGCTCTGTGGGCTGGGAAGTCCATCCTGTGTCATCCTCAGACGCCTGGTTCCGTTGCTGCTGATGTTCCTCGGCCACTCCTCTGCTGTCACAGCTGTCTCCTGGATCAAGGAGGTTCACCTTGATTTTTAAAGAGGAAGCAGCAGTACTTGCTGACAGATTTGCAAGAGTTAGCGTGTTCATTTGAGGAAAGGTTGCAAGACAGAGGAAGAGTCTGGCTAATGGGATGGGACTTCCTGGTAAAAGTAGAAGCAGGTCTTGATAGGGTTATTGTAGGCAAGCTATTGAAACAGAGCAACGGGGAAACGGATTTGTGTGATGTCCTAGACAATAGGAACCCACTGGTAACATGTCTCTTTTTCTCCACAGAATTTCACCCCAAAGTACACCTGCTCAACCAAAGCGAGAGGAACCTGCAGAGGAAGATGAAGATGTTGCAGCCGAGCGGAGAAGGACAGCCACTGCCCTGACCACCTCAAACTTGGAGGAGGTAGAGAACATGCTCGCAATCAATGTTCACAGGAACGTAGAACTGTCACGATCCATTAGTTTGTGTGTAGCACTCGATCTTTACATACACATGCAGGCACTTCTCTGGAGCTTCCCAGAAGTAGAGCATAAATGATGGTGACGTTATTTTCCTTTCAAGGAAAATGGATTTTAATAAGTGAAGTACAATTTCAAAACCATCTAAGACCTTGTGATTCGAAGTGCGATTTGTTATAAAATGTTAAGTAGAGAGCACAATTTCAAGGGCTGTTTTTTGGGTTTACCTTAGACGTCTAAGGTTTTCCGAACATCTCAGATCTTTCCACCAGCGTAGCCGTGTCTGTGCTGGAAAGACAGTGTGCTACTTCCCGGTTCGCTTAGGAAGCATGAAATCTGTTTACATTAATGACTGAGTGCATATTACATTTGAAACAATCCATATGATTACTGTCGATGCCAAATATGGTTAGGTTTGTGACAGGATAGAAAGGCCTCCCGCAGAAGCGCCCGGGACTGTAAAATCTCTGAAATTCAAGAGGAAACCCTGCTGTCATCTCTTCCAGAAACCAGTCATTCTCGCCAGCTGTTTACACAAAGAATACGGAGCCACAAAGAAATGCTGCTTTTCCAAGAAAAAGAAGAAAATAGCTGCAAGAAACATCTCTTTTTGTGTGAAAGAAGGTTGGCAAGAACCACGTTTCTATTCTCCATTATTCTTAGACAGACCAATGGAACACCTGTTAGGTTTTAGGCACCAATTTAACTGTGAAGGCAATCATTCATCAGCTCACTAAGCATCAATTGTTTGGTGTGTCAAGGCCTATTTGAGGCTCTGGATATATAGTTATGAATGAACTACATAAAGTCTCTGTCCCCATAAGCCTCACAGAAAGATAACCTATCAAGAAAAACACCAGATATTAGATAAATTATATGTGGAGCATGCAAATATATGAAATGTAGGTAATTGATTGGGGCTACGTTGGTTGCACGGCCAGGGGAAGCATTCCCCTTTTCCATTGTTAGCTAGGTAGGGGTTTACATGTCAGTTTATCATTTTCACAATCAATCCATTAGACAACCTTTCAAACAAATGGTTTGCCCTGTTCCTCCTCCCACCTTTTTATACCCACCTCCTGCTTGTAATCTATTATCATATCTTTCACCCAAGTCAATACCTGTCTAACTAATAACCTATTCCTTTATCTCCCTTCTTATTCCAACCTTGGTATCCATCGGTCTGTTTCTCTGAATATGAAAATCTTTACCTTGATTGTTTCATATAATAGTACTCTCATTCAATATGTGAACTTTTGTGATTTACTGACTCCACTCAGCATGATATCCTCTATCCATCCGTATCTTAAGGTGTTTCCATTTCTATTATGACTCTGTAACGATGTGTAGTATTCTCTTGTGTGACTGTACCAAAGTTTGTATATACATTCTCCAATGGATGGATATTTAGGGTGCTCCCATGTTTTTGCTGTTGTGAAAAGTGGTTAACATGGGTGTGCATATACCTATGCGTGTCATGGCTTTTACCTCGTTCGAGCATTTATCAAGTAGAGGGATTGCTGGACAGCATGGCGTTTCTAGTCCCAGCTGTTTCAGGAAGTGCCATATGGCTTTTCACAGAGCTTGTACAGTTTCACAGTCCCATCGATAATGTGCAAGGCTTCCAACCTCTTCACATTCTCTCCAGCCTTGGTTATTTTCTGGGTTTTGAGGGTTGCTATCAATATCAGGGTGTGGTAGTGTGTCATCATGGTTTTGATTTGTATCTCTCAAGCAGCTAGGGATTGTGAGCATTTTCTTCATATGTTTGTTGTCCACTTCAATGTTTTCTTTGGTGGATTGTCTCTTCATGCTTTCTCCCTATTTTTTAATTGAACTATTTCTCTTTTTCTTGTTGAGGTGTTGAAGTTTTCTAAGTATTTTAGAGATTGGTCATTTGTCCAATATATTATTGCTAAAAATCTTTTCTCATTGTATGGGTGTTTTTTTTGTATTTGTGAAGCCTCTTGATGGACATTAGTGTCTTATTTTTAAGAGGCTCCTGTCACCTATTTTGCCTTTGGCTGTGTGTATGTGTTTCTTATCTTTGATAAAGCGTTATACTGTGTACTGGCTCCCCTAAGTTTATCCCCCACCTTTCTTATTGATGATCTTTCTAGTTCTTGAGTTTATAATTAGGTCTCTAATCCACCTTGAGCTCATTTGTGTGTGTGTGTGTGTGTGTGTGTGTGTGTGTGTGTGTGTGTAGTGCAGTATGGGTCCTGTTTCATTCTCCTGCAAATGAAAGCCCGATTTTTATAGCACCATTTGTCATTCACAAGAAATAGGCTTACTTTTTGCCAAAAATCAGTTGTCTGTAGGTGGTTGGGGATATTTCTAGGTTCTCTGTTCTGTTGGTACCCGTATCTGCCACCCGGCTCTAGGCTGCGCTGATGCCTGTAACTGGGTAATAAATTTGGGGGTCAGGCAGTAAGAGGGCTCTCACTGTGTTCTTCTTCCTTGGTAGTGATTTGCTCGTCCGAAGAAGCCTTGATGGCATAGTAGGTTACATATTGGGCTGATATCCCCGAAGTCCGTAATTCCTAGCCTCCTGCTGCTCTCTGGGAACTAGATGAAGCTTGCTACTTCCATAAAGATCTAAAGTCTCAGAAACCTCAGGGACAATTCTACTCGGTCTTATAGGATCACTATAAGTCAGAATTGACTTGACAATAGTGAACTTGAGTTTTTGAGTTTGTTTAACCTCTCTTTCTTTTCCATATAAAGCTGGGGAATCATTTTCCCATCGCTTTGAAGAATGATTCTGGGATCTGGACCAATATTGCAGTTTATTGATAAATTGCTTCAGCTAGCATTGACATTTAAAAAAATCTTAAGTATCTCTAATCCATGAACATGGTATATTCTTCCATTTATATAGGTCTCTTGATTTCTTGTAGTAGTGTTTTATAGTTTTATTTATAAAAGTCTTTTGTTCCTCTGAATTGATTCCTAAGAATTTCATCTTTTGAACCACTATTAAAAATGGTATTGTTTTCTTTATTTCCTTTTAAGCCCTCTCATATGAATTTGAATTGGACTTATTTTTATATGTTGATCTTATAGCCCACCATATTGCTGAATCTTTCCATTAGTTCCAGCAAATTTCTCATTGAGTCTTTGGGATTTTCTTATCTAATCATATCATCTGTAAACAGGGAATTTTACTTCGTTGACAGTTTGGAGGCTATTGTGTCAAATAGCCCTGGCTAAGGCATCCAGCACAATGCTAAATAAAAATGGTAATAAATAGCATCCCGTCTGGGTTCTTCGCTGAGCAAGATGTTGGCCAGTGGATGTCCTTATTATGTTAAGAAATTTCCCTTTAATGGCAGTGTTGCTGAATACTTTTATCAAGTATATGTGTTGGATTTTGTCAAATGCTTTTTCTGCATCAGTTGCTATGATCATGTAGTTCTTTTTCTTTGTTCTATTTATAGAGTGGATTGTATTGATTGCCTTTCTAATGTTGAAATTAGAAAAATTTCATACCTCGTCATGATGTTATTTTGTTTTGTTTTTATGTTATGTTGAATTTTATTGACTAGGATTTTGTTGAGAAGTTTTTTTATGTATATATAAATCATTTTATTGGGGGCTCATACAACTCTTATCATAATCCATACTCCATCCATTGTGTCAAGCACATTTGTACATTTGTTGCCATCATCATTCTCAAAACATTTTCTTTCTACTTGAGCCCTTGCTATCAGCTCCTCATTTTTCCCCTCCCTCATGAACCCTTGATAATTTACAAATTATTATTATTTTGTCATGTCTTACACTGTTCGACATCTCCCTTCACCCACTTTTCTGCTGTCCATCCCCCAGGGAGGGGATTATATGTAGATCATTGTGATCAGTTCCCCCTTCCTCCTACCACCTTTCCATTACCCTGTTGAGAAGTTTTACAACTGTGTTGCTAAGGTATATTCGTTTATAATTTTCTATTCTGATAATGTCTTTGTCTAGTTTGGGTATCAATGTCATGCTCACTTTATAAAATAGATTCTGGAGTTTAATGTTCTTTTTCTATATTCTGAAATAGTTTAAATAGAATTGTTGTCAATTCTTCTGTCAATGTTTGGTGGTATTCCCCTTTGGAGCTCTCTAGTCCTGGACTTTTTGTTGTTGTTGGGAATTTTTTAATGATTTGATCTATTTCTTCTTTTGTTCTGGTGAGGTTTTCTAAATAGGTCTGAGTTAGTTTAAGTAGGTAATATGTTTCTAGAAACATGTCCATTAGGAAGACTTTAGGAGCAACAATGAAGCCAAAATATGGGTTTCAAGAAGGCATGAGCTATAATATTCTCAATAAACACAAGATTTCCAGACAGAAGAACAATTGGAGACAGGCACTCAGCAGTATAGACACCTTGGAGTGGTTAAAGCCCAACCACGCAGCAAGGGCTGTATCTACTCATGAGCAGGAAGTGGTCTAAGTGGTGAGGCTGGATTAGCTACGGCTCATAAAACACAGCTCACATTTCAAGGCAAGTTAGTGAAAAAATGATCAGAGGCTTTTTGCAGACAGACCACCATTCAATTCATGTTTTCAAAAGATGGCACTGCTTGTTGTTCGCTCATGAATTGGGAAGAAGAGAAAATTAATATGTTATGTCAATTTAAATGAAATAGTGTGCTGAACACAGTGGCAGGATTTAGGTGGGACAAAATATCCTTGGCTTCCCAGGTTTAAGAATCATTTAATCATGTACTCACCATGGTAACAATTTTGTGTGTGTGTGTGTGTGCGCGTCCATTCTTTATTTCAAGTATTTATAAAATACCACTAGGCTCTTTCCCAGGATGAGAGTCCAGAGGGCCCCCTTCAGAACCTTGGAAGAGGCAGTGCACACAACTTTACATAACAGCGAGCAACCCTTTAGCTCATGCTTGACGGGAGAACACAGTTCAGAGTGGAGCCAAAGGAAGTGACACCAGGCAGGGGAGGGTGTGTGCTTATCGTAATCAAACTTCAGTTGCCCTTGGGGCAAATCTTGTGGCTGCACAGAAATGGAGGCTGTGTGGGGAAGGTTCAAATACAGCACAAGGGTTCCAAGTGTCTAGGTGGCTACACCCCTGGCTGGGGTGCCATTAGATCAGTGTCGCTCAAGTTCCTGGCCAGCCAAACGCCTGCTACAAAAAGTCCCAAGTTGAGGATCAAGTTCCTCCGTAAATCATTCCTATTGGTGGCGAAGTGGTAGATGCCCCGAAGCCAATCGCCCACATTGTCGGGGATCTCGGGCATTTCATTTGCAGATCCCGCAGCGCTCACGCCCACGCTGGTGGAAGCCATGGCGGCACCTTGGCATTCCGCCCATGGTCACAATTTTTTATGGAAAATATTTTAGACCCTTTCTAACTCAAACAAACATCTTGGGAAAAGACAATGGATCTAGAATCTATAAGGTTTCTAATAATATTTGACATCATACAAAGGTTAAAGAAGAAGCTATTGTGGAGTGAATTACATGGAGATGATAAATTTCAATCTTATAACTGGTAGAGAGGCACAGAGACGTTCGACTCCTGTAAAGAGTTACAGTCTTAGAATCCCACAAGAGCAGTTTTGCCCTGCGCTACAGGATTGCCAAGGGTGGGAATCAACTCCATGGCGGTGAGTTTTTAGAAGACACCAGTTAATGCTTAACTTCTGTTTTTAATAGTTGGTCGTTCTTTCTTTCAGGTGAGATTTTGGGATTGCTGGGACCCAATGGAGCTGGTAAAAGTTCATGTGCTAGAATGATAAGTGGGGTCACAAAGCCGACATCTGGAAAGGTAGTGAAAAAGGAGGAGACAGTTCGATGATGTATTTACAGCACCATGCCCATAGACAGGGGATGCAAATGGCTAATGTTTTCGACATCCTCCATGTGGTCCTTGGAAGAAAAACCTGGCAATCCACTTGAAAAAAATATTACCTAATGAGAACCCTATGAAGCAAAACACATGCTATGAGCCAGAATTGACTTGGAAAAAGCTTCAGTGTTTTTCTCTAATGAATTTACGAAGTGATTTCGCAAATATTTCTTTGATGCTCAAGCATTTCAACCATTTATTATTATGATATATCGGGTGATTGAGTAATTGTGCGTTGTAGGAAAGGCTACATACTTCTAAAACTATTTTGCCTTGTTTGTTTCTTTAGGTAGAACTGAAAGGATCCAGTCCAGTTTGGGGTCATCAGGCAGACAGCTTGGTCAGGTTCCTGGGGTACTGTCCTCAGGAGAATCCGCTGTGGCCCAACCTGACCATTCGAGAGCACCTGGAGGTGTACACAGCTGTGAAAGGACTGAAGGGCGGCGATGCCTCGGCCGCCATTACACGGTACTGTACTGTGTTTCCTATGTGTTAGGAGGCGGGCGAAGGTACAGGTTGCCACAGACTCGCTAATGAAGCATGGTGGCAGGAAATGATATCTCTTATTTTTTAGAGTGCCAGGGAATTAGCAGGAAAATAGGACCCAAAGCCTCATGCCCTTGCATCTTTGGACAGGGTAGCTTTTAAAGATAGTCTAAAATTATTGATGATAAATAAGGGGCCAGAAAAAAAAGTGAACAAACAAAATACCCCCCACCTTTTTTTTAAATTAACAGCTCCATTTTATCTTAAGGAATTTTTAAGAAATGAATTATCTTTATCATCCACAATATGCTGATTTCTCCCCTTTGGTCCCTAGAGTTTTGAGAATAAGAATGCCAGGGTTTCTCTGCTCAAAACGACAAGACTTTGACAATGAAAGAGATCAACTATTTACTAAGCGAAAGGGAGAGATGTTTGCAAGCAGGCATTCAGTTTTATAGAAAACGAAGAGACCATTAAAGACAGGGTTTTTCCTTATGTGGCATTTACGATTGTGTGACCTACCGTTGGTTCTTGAAGATTGTACCGTCATGCTGGAGAACAAGTCTCACGGAATGCACAAAACCTTTCCGAAACAGGTTTGGGGGAAAATGAACTTCTGAGATAAACATCTACCAGCTGTGACTTCAAAGTGTGCAAGCAAAAAGGGACAGTCTTTTGTTTGGCTTGGGGTGGGGGGAGGGTGAAAGGACACACAGCAAAGCAGACATCATTCTTCAATTTTTACTTGGACAATTTAGCGACACTTCAAGTTCTGGAACCATTCTCGCCTTCCTTCCCCAAAGTGTTCCACCATCATTAGGATAAATTCGTTGGCAGCCTTAGGAGGGCTGGCGTCTGCCGGGTCAGGCAAGTCGATGGTGAGAGATCCTTGAGGGAAAGGGAGTTTGGTTAGCAGAGGTATAATTAATGACAAAACCAAGTTCAAACTCATCTCAACATCTCTAATATTGTTACTCTTCTGTGTGCTTGCATTTGCCCCAAATCTTCTCTTCTTGTTTCATCTTGTCTTTCACCAGAGTAGTGGATGCTTTCAAATTGAAGAAGATGCTCGATGTGCCGGTGGAGAAATTGACAGCAGGAACGAGTAGAATGGTATGTGTAGGGTCTGATGATATGTCCAGAGCCGGCAGACGGCGGCAGCAAGCATGGGGGTCACTCTGTGTTTCAGCTGAGCTTAGCGCTGAGTATCCTGGGAAACTCACCAGTGCTGCTGTTGGATGAGCCTTCGACAAACTTGGATCCCACCATGCAACAAGAGATGTGGTGAGAAAGACCGAACTCCCAGGGCTCGGGGTGTTTTTATTGTGCTGTTGTGGATAAGTGCTGTCAAGTCCGTGTGACTCCTCGTGACCCTCCGTACAGCAGATACAACAGGCCCGGCCCCAAGCCATCGTCACAATAACGGCTCTGTGTGAGCCGATGGGTGCAACCACTGGGTCAGACCCTCTCCTTGAGAAGGTCCTCCTCGTTTTTGATGATTCCTTACACAGGAGCTGGGAGGACACATAGTAGGAAAAGGTGCGTTTTTCAACTGATCTTGGAACACGGACACACAGGCTCATTGGTTCCTAATTCAGTGCACTAATCCCTTTTTATGAAGAAAATCAATAGATCCTCTATTGTTATATTGTTTTCCACACGATCACCCGTCTTTCAAGTAAAAAAACAAAGCAAAGCAAAAAATGTCTAATATTTTGTTGGACTTCTTAGGCCTCGTAATTTTGTTTATTAATCGCTGAGAGGCCCAGGTTTCTTGAGCTCTCTGCCTCTTTTCTTTTACTCCTGGTTTGTTTTCTTGTTGTTGCGATTAGGTGTTGTCTGGTCGGTTCTGACTCATAGCAACAAAGCACCGCCCTGTGCCATCTGCATAATCATTGTTCCGGTTGAGCCCATTGTTGCAGCCACTGTGTCAAACCACCCCCTTGATGGTGGTCTTCTGTTTCCTGACCCCCCACTTTACCAAGCACGATGCTCTTTTCCAGGGACTGGTCTCTCTGCATAATGTGTCCAAAGTGCTCAAGACCAAGGCGTGTCATCCTCACTTCATAAGGAGCATGCTGGCTGCACTTCTTCCAAATCAGATTCGTCTGTTCTTCTGGAAGTCCACATTCCTTGCTAAATTCTTGGAAAACACCACCATTCATATATATCAGTTCATGGTCTAACTTTCACATGCAGGTGAAGTGATTGAAAATACCATGGCTTGGTTATGGCACATCTTCATCTTCAAAAAGACATCGTTGCTTTCCAACGCTTTGAAGAAACGTTTTGCAGCAGATGCACCCGATTTGATATGCATTTCATTTCTTGACTTTGTTGTCTTAGACGACATTAACTCGCTGGCCCAATTTCCAGTTATTGTTCCTTTTAGACAATCTGCCAACTTTGCTTATCCATTCTTTGTTGTTTTTTTAATTGTTTTATTAGGGGCTCATACAACTCTTATCACGATCCATGCATGCATCAATTGTGTAAAGCACATTTGTACATTCGTTACCCTCATTATTCTCAAAACCTTTGCTCTCCACGTAAGCCCCTGGCATCAGCTCCTCATTTCCCCCCTCCCCCTCCCTCCCCACTCCCCCCTCCGTCATAAACCCTTGATAATTTATAAATTATTATTTTGTCATATCTTGCCCTGTCCGACGTCTCCCTTCACCCACTTTTCTGTTGTCCCTCCCCCAGGGAGGAGGTCACATGTAGATCCTTATAATCATGCTTATCCATTCTATAAGCACATTTTCTCCCTTCTTCTAATCTAGGACTGGTCTTTTGTACTAATTGAAAGTTTTATGTTTTATGTTTGTGACAGCCCAATACTTTTCCAACTTATTTGAAAACGTCATGATAGACATGGTTGGAATGTAGAAAGAATCAAGGAGCCCTGGTGGTACAATGGCTCAGTGTTCAACTGTATATTCAAGGTTGGGATCAAGAACACACCAGCTGGTCTACTGGGGAAAACGCCTGACCATATGTCCCCATAAAGCTACAAGCTTGGAAACCATATTGGGGTGGGGGGGGGAGGGGCAGTTGTAGTCTATCCTATCAAGTTATTATGATTAGGAATCACTTGGATGTTACACACCACCACCAATAACACATTAATTTATGAACTCATCACCTAGTTTTTATAGATATCAACATATGGCCAACTTTTCTTTTTCCATTTCTAATCAACCACTTTTTTCATCCACCCTCTGATTATCTGGAAGCATATCCTAGTCAACATATCCTTTTATCTATACATATTTCAGTCAATATCTCAGAAAGAAATGAAATCTTTTATTTATTTTTTTACTTAAAGACAATGGCATTCTAAACCAAAAACTGAAAGAAAGAAGCTGATTGCCCTTGGGTCAGTTCCTGCCCACACAACACATAGCAACCTGTGGGGCGGAATAGAACTGTTCCTTACAGTTTCCAAGACTGTGGGCTCTATGGGAAGGGACAGTCTCATTTTTATCCCGGGAAGCGGCTAATTGGTTTGAGCCACCTACCTACCTAAGAATTAGCAACCCAATGCTTAACCTGATACATTACAAGGGCTCTTTATGATACCATTATCATATCAAAATGTAAGAAATACAATGATTTATTGCTATCCAATATCTAGTTAGTACTTAAATTTCTCTGATTTGTTTCAACTAATATCTGAATAAGATTTATACTTGATTCTACCTGTTTCCCATTCCACCTTTATTGTACTTGGGATGAAAGTTTACAGAGCAGATGAGTTTCCTGTTCAACAATTTATACGTGTTTTTTGTTTCATAACACTGATCGCAATTCCCACAATATAACAATATTCTTCCCCCCGTGTGTTAGTATGGATAGACTAGAGAAATAAATTCACAGACACTCATATGTGTATAAGAAAGAGCTTTATATAAAAAAGCAATGGAACATTGAAAGAACATCCCAACCCTGTCCAGTCCAAGCCCATAAGTCCGATATTAGCCCATATGTCTGATACCAATCTATAAAGCCCTCTGCAGACTCATAAAACACATGAAATGATGCTGAATGCAGGAACATCACAGGGCAGTGGGTAGGAAGTCTTATGGATCCAGTAGCAGTAGAAGCATCTCAGCGCTGGGGTGGGTCTCCACGTGGCTTCTCCAGCTCCGGGCTCTGACTGCATCAGTCTCTCTCCAAGTGTCTTGTTAACAGCATGTCTCGTAGGGAGTGAACCTCGTCAGTAAAAGAGTCTCCAAAGGAGTGAGCCTGCAACCTGACTCAAGTGAGCTATTTATCTCCTTAGGGCCTCCAAGCTGCAACCTGATTGACAGGCTAAACCCCGCCCCTTCGCTCTTAATCCTCTCAAATTGACAACTACCACATCCCTTCTCTAGGAGTTCCCCATTTCCATTTCCCTTCTTTCCTCCCCCTTCCTACCTACTGAGCTTTATTTTGGGGCAAAGAAGCCCTTTTAGTCTCATATGGCTGATTGCATAGGGAAGCACATTCTCTCTGGTACTAGTATTCTTTTTTTTTTTACTAGTATTCTTTTTATAGACCTGCCTACTGCTCAATTGAAACTTGACCCTCTAGCATGAGTTCCATTCCAGGCTGGAAGGTTGTCTAAGGGCTATAGTCTCAAGGACTTCTACTAGTCTCTTTCAAGCAAGTCAGTCTGTTTTGTTTTATTTTCATTTTTGAATGTTGTTCTACTTCTTTTCCTCCCACTAGGGTTGTCTATCTCGGACTTTCTATCATGATCATAGTAGTTGGTAGTGGTAGCGAGGCACCATCTACTTCCTCTCGTCTCTGAATAGTAACGAATATGACTCATAGGGTCCATTAGTCCTTTGGAATGTTTCCTTGAGTCTTGGATTTCATTCACTTTTCTTAGCTCCAGGGGAGGCCAATGGTTGGCTCTTAGATGACCACTTCCAAGACTCCAGTTGCCACTCACCGCAGTAGAGTGTAGGATATTGTCTTTGTGGGCTGCAGTTCGTTGTTAGGTGTCATCAGGTCAACTAGGATCCATAATGACCCTACGCACCATAGCACAAAACTCTGCTTGGTCCTGCACCATCCTCACCATTGCTCCTGGGCTTGAGTCCATTGTTGCAACCACAGTGTCGATCCATGTCCCTCCACTTTACCCAGCATGATGTCCTGCTCCAGAGGCTGGTCTCTCCTCATCACATGTCCAAAGTACGTAAGACCAAGTCCCACCATCCTTGCTTCTAAGGAGCACTCTGGCTGTACTTCTTGCACGACAGATTTGGTTGTCCTTTTGGGAGTCCATGATACTTTCAATATTCTTCACCAGCACCACAATTCAAATGCATCGATTCTTCTATAGTCTTCTATATTCAGTGTCCACTATATTCATATGCATAGGAGGTGATTGAAAATACCTTGGCTTGGGTCAGGCACACCTTCACAGATGTCCCCAGAGACTGTAACCTTAAGTCTCCAAGCTCCCTTGAGGTGTTTAAATATTTTGCTTATGTAATCTGCTGATTCACTTCAGGCAGATGATCCAGGCAGCCGTGAAAAGCTCCAGGAAGGGGGCTCTCCTGATCACACATTATCTGGCTGAGGCAGAGGCTTTGTGTGACCGCGTGGCCATCATGGTGTCGGGAAGGCTCAGGTAGGTGAGCCCACAGTTGACCCCTCAAAGCAATTGCTCTGTTAGAAGAGCGTGGTCATTGTCAGATTCTAACGTCTTTGGTGGCACCCTTTCCCTACATTTGAGGTTCAAGAATAACAGCAAGGAATCAAGGAGCAGAATTTTCCCAACACATTCTTCTTCTTGTCCCCAGATGCATTGGCCCCATCGAACACCTGAGAAGCAAGTTTGGCAAGGATTATATTCTAGAAATAAAAATGAAGGAGCCTTCTCAGGTTACTTTGGTACACATGGAGATTCTGAAACTTTTCCCTCAAGCTGCACGACAAGAAAGGTGAAATGAGATTTTTATGATGGTGAAAAGTGTAGTGGGTGGCCCACGCAGTGTTTCCTATTTCTACTTTATGCCAATGTCAAGTTAACTTCTTATTAAAAGTTAAGGACCTTGAACAGTGATTTATTGGATCTCCCAGATCATAGGAGTTGAGAGATGCCAGAAAGCTGATCATAAGAATTACAAGTTGTAAATATTTTGGGAACAATTTCCCCCATAGAAAACAAAAGGCAGGTGTAAGATATGAAAATAATCATTTATCAGGGGTCCATGAGGGTGGAAGGATGGGGGAGGGATAGAAAAAAAGAGGAGCTGATACCAAGGGCTCAAAAGAATGAAAATGTTTAGAAAATGTTGATGGTAGCATATGTACAAATGTACTTGATACAATTGATGTCTGGATTGTTATAAGAGGTATAAGAGCCCCCAATAAGATGATTTATTTACAATAATAAAAAGAAAACAAAAGGCAATTTAGATAGAGAATCAATATGTCTCTGTAGAGTAGTGTATGTATGTGTGTGTATGTGAGAGAGAGAAAGAGAAGGGTAGAGGTGGAGAGAAAGAGATTGGGAGAAGAAGGAAAGAAGGCAGAGATTGAATTTGAAATTCCTTGGAGGGATGAACTCACTTAAGAAGGTGTATACAAAAACTGTATAACTGTAGTGAAATTTCCTGTGGTATAGATAGTCCCAGACATGTAAAGTCCTGTTCATGGAGATATGGTATCACAAATCTGGCTTGCGTGGTGGGGGGAAGGACATGATGGCTAGTCTGAAGGAGCATGGGCTAGTTGGAGGATGACCAGTTCCAGAGGTTTGAACAACCTCAGCATCACCTGGAAACACCAGGCACTTGGGAGAAGGAGCAGAGAATAAGGTTCGACCTTGTCAAGCCACAGTAGCAACAGGATGACCAAAATTTAGTCTCGTGCTTCCACAGAAGCAAGGAAGTTCCCAGTTGTGGTCTTTTAAAATACTCCATCCACTGTTAGGTTCCCCTCTCCAACCTCATCTCTCTTTGCAAGTTAGCTTTGAAATATGACAAGGGTAAACTTTTAAGTTCAGTGGGTCCCAACCTATTAACTTGAACCAACCAAAGGGAATCTCAGAAATCAATGAGCAAAAAAAGGTGTGCATAAGCTGAGCATAAAAGTAAGTATTCCCTCAAATTAGTAGGAGAACACATATCTCAACAGCCAGCTCCATTAAAAAAATTTCCCATGGAGTTTATTTATTTTCTATCTAAGACACACATATTTTGTATCAGCATTATTTTAGAAGGAAATTGTGAGTGATATCAATATTTATTTTGATGGTTATCACCCATAAACTAAGACTTGAATGTGACATTTCCTATTCCAAGGTCCCTCTCCTTCTTGACCTATAAGCTACCCTTGGCGGATGTTCAACCTCTGTCTCAGGCCTTTCATCGATTAGAGGCAGGTAAGAATGAAGGCTTCTAAATAAAGCATTGGAAGAGTCCATTCATAGATAGGTCATATATTTATGACAGGCAATTGTGGAATACATAGTAAAATGTTAAAAAACATAGACCCTGTAGTAATGTGATGGTAGAGGGCCTCTGCAGGTAGAGGATGTCGGATGACGGTTTTTCATCCCAACCTGGGATTATCCGGGAGTCTTGCTGGTGCTAACTGCAAGGTGAGCAGTTGGAAACTCCCAGCCCATCCAAGGGCAAAAGATGGGGCTTTCTATTATCATAAAGGTTTACAGTCTCCGAAACCTACGGGGACAATTCTTTTCTGTTCTGTAAAAAAGTCAAACCAAACTCACTGTCATGGAATCTAGGCTGACCCACGGGCACCCTATAGAACGGCCCCCTTTGAATTTTGGTGGCTGTAACTATTTATGGGAGTAGGAAATCCTGTCTTCCTCCCAAGAAGCAGCTGGCGGCTTCAAACTGCAGACCTTGTGGATCGCAACCTGAGGCATAACCATTATGCCACAGGGTTCCTTCTGCACTCTCTGTTCTATAGGGTCTCTTTAAATCAGAATGGCAGTGAGTCTGGCTTGCGGTTCTTCCAATACTCTGAGAGGAGATTCATTTCCCAGGCAGAAACCCAAGCTCCACAGAGCACACACTGTGCTGACTGATCTTACTGTGAATTCATGACATGAGCCTCTCCAAACCCCTGGGTGCTGCCTGCTTTGCCTACATCTCCCTGACCCTTCAGACCCCAAACTCAGCCAAAGCCATTGCCATCAAGTAGTTTCTAACCATAGAGCCTTTTTAGCGTGTCTGTGTCTGTCAGTCTTTGCAAGAGCAGATCGCCCATCTCTGTCCAGTGAAGGCAGGTGGGTGTGGGTCAACCATCTTGCACTTTGCAGCCCAACATTCTGTGCACAACACCGAGAAGGTTCCTAATTCATACCCCAACCTCCTAAATGGCTGCTTCTCTATTTCCCTCTTCCCTTACTTGGTCATCTCCATTCTGGTTTCTCCCTCAGTGAATCCCTTGATTTATATGTCAGTACTTAAGTGCTCGAGGAATATCCCACCCATCTGTGAAGTCTTCATGTGTAAGAATATATCCATGCACTATATAGTTTCTCAAGGAAATATGTACCTCCCCAAAACGTACACATGAAGTAATGAAACCTTTTGTCAAACCCAGCATTCTTTTAATGTCAATTTAATGTATGATGTGTTTGTGTTAACCCTTGACAGCTTTGTACTATTTCCCCAATCATTGGTTTACCCTACATTGTATGTTGTTTATATTAGTGATTTATAATTTTACTTTGCATGACTGAGAAGAAATGCCTGGTGCAAAATTATAAACATCTGACAGTAGCTTTGTTTGCTTGCAGTGAAACACAAGTTCAACCTTGAAGAATACAACCTCTCGCAATGCACACTGGAACAGGCAAGTCTGTTACGACGGTTTTGTATCATCCGTAAGGAGCCCTGGTGGAGTAGAGGGTTGTCTGGTGGCTGCTGACCACAAGGTCAGCTGTTAGAAACCACCAGCTGCTCGACAGGAGAAAGATGAGGTTTTCTGCTCCCATAAAGATGGACAGCCCCCCAAAGGCAGTCCTACTCTGTCTTGCAAGGTCACTATGAGGCAGAATGGACTTGATAGCAATGCGTTATCATCCTTATCAATTTCACATTTACATAATACTCTTTTTCCTATTCCCTTGGAAGACAATTAACCCCTTGATGATTCCTTTTCCCTCTTTGTCTCCTATGAAGGTGTTCTTGGAGGTTTCTAAGGAGCAGGAACTGGAGAACGCTGATGAAGAAGCTGGTACAAGCATGCAGTGGAAGCTCCTCTCTCAGTCCGATGACCTTTAAATCCTCAAGCTTCAGAACTCTGTTGAGATCATGTCCTTGTCTCTTGGATGTAATAATGCACCCTTTCTCCGATTTTACATTGCATTTACTCTCAGTGCTAGGGACAGTTTAAAATCATGTTATGGGGAGCTCTTACAGATACCCTAACATTTCAGAGTTCAATCACATCAAGCAGTCTCGTACAATTGCTGCCACAGTCAGTTTCAAACCATTTTCTCCTTGAACTCCTTGATATCAGCTCCCCTTGATCCCCTCCCTCCCTGACAATGCCCCCCAGGAACCCTTATTTCTTTTTCTTTTTCCTCTAATATTTTTTTTTGCCATTAGACATCTTACACAATTCAATGTTCGGTTAATATCTGATCATCTTTCATAATGAGTCTTGCCCTCAGATTTAGAGGCCAACTGTGACAAAGGTAATACAAAGTAGTAACCAAGGCACCGGAAAAGCCAGACACCGGGCACTGGGCATGTGATGGAAAGAAAACTAAAGACCTAGAATAGTTTGAAATCTTTTTAACATTTATTAAACGTTTTCTTGATGTATATATATCCATACATGTATATTTATGTGAAGGAATTATTCTGCAGCCAGTAGCTGCATGGATATTTCACGTTGGTTTATAATACCTGGGTTGCATGCTTCTTCTTTTATGTACAGCTATCACCCACAATTCGCCCACTGAAAGCTTCCCGGAGCTGTTTCAGAGGTCACACGTTTCGGAAGTGTTTTTACTCACAAGTTAACAGGCATCTACATTTGGAAAACAGTTCAAATATGCAATTTGAAATTAAAGAGCATCATAGTTGTATTTGTTCAGGTTTTTTCACGGTTTAGTACGTTCTATTTTATGGTTGTGGGGTACTCATTTCCCTCATTAGCTGATCAATCATTTTCTGAGTCTTTGCAACCATTTTGTGGCCATTTTCCTTTCTCTGTGTGTGTGTGTGTGTGTAAATAAAACTCATACCAAACCCACTGCCATAGAACTGATTTCAATAGGCTTATAACAACCTATATAGGGTTTATGAGACTGTAAATCTTTCCAGGGACAGACAGCATCCTCTTTCTCACAAGAAGGACCTGTTGTGTTTGAACAACTGAACTTTCAGTTAGCAGCCTAATGCTTAATCCACAATGCCACTGGGAGTCCATATACACACGTGTGTATATTTATACATACACATATGCATACATATACATATGGCATGGGTATAAAGGAAGGGTTCAAAAGTGTGTGGAAAAATAGAATTTTACCACACACTTTTCAAAGTCCCCTTGTATACTTGCCCCACATATATGTGTATATATATTTTAAATTCACATTTAAAATTTTTTGCTGCCTTTCCATATTATTTTGGCTTAAAATATTATTTTAAATAATATTTATTTAATGTTTACTAGCCCTGGAGAGATTTGTGAAGACCGGACAATATCCTTGTTGTTTATTTGGTGTGTGTGATATGTTATGTAACTTTGATTCTTTTGAAGCTTACTGAAAATTTCACAACAGGGAAAAGTACAGAATCAAATTGAATTTAGAAAGCACTGCAATCTTTCCATACCAAATACAAACAAAAATACCCCCCCCCACGGTGGCATTTTAAACTACCCCCTTCATTCCTTATTGCATTGCTCACATCGTTGACATTATATCATATATAATCCTGAGCCATTCAGTCACTCCCAACCTACAGCAACCCCCCGTAGAGTTTCTGAGACTGTGAATTTGTATGGTGCAGACAACCTCATCTTTCTCCCACAGAGCAGCAGGTGAATTTGAACCACTGACCATGTGTTTAACAGCCCAGTCAATGCCTAACTCATAGTGCCACCAGG